GGATCTGGGAATATTGACAAAATTGCCATTTCATCCTGAAGATCATGCAAGAGATCGCAAGCAGGCCCAGGACACTCCCAGGGCCTCTTTCTTTGGGATGCCATTGCAGATATCTTCCTGGCTCCATCACCTCCTAGCTCTCAAACAATAGGGCAAGCTGCTTAATCACCCTGTGCCTCAGTTTTCCTCCTGTAAAATGGGGTACTCCACAGTACTGAGATGATTACAGGAGATAAGCATTATAAGCTGCAGGACAGCATCTGTAGCTCTTATTAGTTTTATTTTACTCAATCCTCTTGATCTGTGCCATCCAGCATGGGAAGCAGGAGCCATAAGCCACACATGGCCATTGAGCACCAGACCATGACTACTTCAAATCATACCAGGTTTCAAGAAAAAAAATATGACAAAATGAATGTCTTGCTATGTTGTCCAGGTTGGTCTCAAACTTGAGATCCTCCTGCCTCAGCCTCCCAAGTACCTGGGACTATAGGTGTGAGCCATCAAACCTGACTTTCATTAGTATTTTTATATTGATTTCTTGTTGAACTGACTGTTACATAAACTATATTATTAAAATTAACTTCACTAGTTTCTTCACTTTTTTTCCATGTAATTTTAAATTATATAGGTGGCTTATATTGTGTTTCTATTTCACATATATCTGTCATTTGAGGAAACTGAGGCTCAGGGCATTTAGTTTCTTGCCTAAGGACATGGAGCTAATAAGTTGCTGAACTAGGATTTAAACTTAAGCCTATGAAAGGAACTGAGCACCTCTAGAGGTGCAGTGGCAATCCATCTCAGGATGCAATGTCTGTCCTGTTCAGGTTCAAGTGCTCAGTCTTGAACCCCACCCCGGTCAGTTCCCATATGGGGAGCTGGAAATGGATTTGCTGGATCAACAGGGAGAGAAGTGATTGATGAGTTTGGCCAGAACCCCCTTCTCCTCCCAGTCCCCATTTAAATTGCTTCTTTCTGTTGCTGATTGCCTTACAGTTTCCAGAAAGTAGCATCTGGACTCTGGATCCCATATCCCAGACAGACACACTAATCCACAAGTCTTCCCAGGGAGGGTGAGGGACTGCAGGTCTCAGTGAGGTCCCTGGCTGTGAGCCTCCCACCCACCTGCCCTTGCTCACCTTTCTTTCTCCACCGGAGTAAGAGGCTCCCAGAGGCAATCAGGCCTGCAGCCAGCAGAAGGGACAAGAGCACCAGAACCGGGGCCAATATTCGGACCATTGGGATGGACACCCTGGGGGCGAGATGCATGGAGCCTGGTGGCTGTCACCAGAGAAGGCATCTGTATCCTTGGGGCCCATGTGGGGGCTGGGAAAATCAACTCCTAGTGTGAAATCTAATTCAATGTGACAAAGACTGGCAGAGCATTTGATGCCATTGGCTCTCTACGGACATTATTTAATTAGCTCAGATCCTGAAGCTGGGCTGCCTGGGTTCAAACCCTGGCTCTGCCAATTTCTAGAAGGGTGACCTTGAGCAAGTGACTTAACCTCCCAGAGTATCAATTTCCTCCTTTGTCAAATGGCTCTCATGAAGATCAGTTGGGATGTGTATACACACACACACACACACACACACACACACACGCACACACACACACATACACACCATGCACCATGTCAGCTGTTAAATTCACCCCATATCATTTGGTAGGAACAGCCTAATTTCACATTGAAGAAAATGACTTGCTAGTTAAGTGACTCGCTAAATCACACAGGGCATGTGGGAAAGTTCTCATGGCCCACATCCGGCACCAACGTACTAGACAACAGGGAATTCTGATTCTGACTCTAGGTCCCTTGTCTCCAAGAGGTTAGAGTGTGCCAGGGACCACAGCGTCTAGTTACCCTATCATCTATGCCTTGTCTGGGCTGGAAAGGACTCTCAGTCTCTGCTGTCAACCCCATGAGACACTTGCATGTGAGTCTGAACCTGCTAGCAGTGACCTACAAGTCAGGAACCGAATGCATAAGTACTTGGTTATAAGCCCAGAACCCTTTCTTCAGGCTGGGACCCCATCTGGGTAAAGAAAAAAATTAGGGTGGAGGGTTCCATGTTGTTATGCACTGCATAGGGGTCAGGCAAAAACTATTCATCTGGGGTGATCCACTCTGAGGCCGGGATAGGTGGAGAGGTGGGGACTGGGGCTAGGGCAAACTCGTCACCTCGGGTGGGCCTGTGTGTTCAGGGCAGCAGGGCTGTGGGATCCTGCACTGCAAGACACGCACTGCTCAGGCTAAAAGCCCCCATGAGGGGCAGATGGGGCTGAAATCTGTCTTGTGCCACGGGGTATGGCCATGATAACAGGAGACATTGGTTTGGAAGAAAGAGTGTTAGGGGATTATTGGCTCAAAGATGTCTTATGATTTAGTGATGGCCTGAAGGGTGACCTTGGCCACCTGGACTCACCTGGACCTGGAGCTGTGGCTGATGGGGACAGGACTAGTGTCCTCTGCCAGGGTGGAGTCCAGCGGCATGGGTGGGCGGGAGCTCCCTGCATGAGGAGAGGTCGCTGTGTGAGCAGAGGTTCCTGCATACGGAGAGGTTCCTGTGTGTGTGGTCGTTCCTGCATGCTGCAACGGGACTGTCCCTGTGACGGGAGAAGCCTCAGTCCCTGTCTTCCCCTGCTTGGCTGTGGTGACTGCCAGGTGGAGATCAGGAGGAGCTACAAGTTCAAAAGCAATGCCTCAGCACCTTCCCTGACCCTTGAATCCCAATCTCCCTGACTGACCCTTGACCCCTGAACTCTAACCTCCCTGAGACCAATTTCTCAGAGCATTTCCTCAGCAAGAAGAGGTCTAGATGAGGCGATTTTGAGTAAGCAGACCATATATCAGGCACCCCTGTCCCCACTGCCATGACCCAGTCCAGCATCACTCCATTGGCACCTTCCTGCTCCTGCCCCCCTAGCAGTCATGGCCGACTGTCACCTCCTCTCTCACTGGACGGGCAAGTTCTCCTATCACCATCACATGCTCCTGCCACCTGTAGGTCCTGACCTCCTTCAACAGCCGGAGGCCAGCAGGGCAGTGTGGCAGGGATGAGTTCAGTGGTCAGGGCTGAAGGCCTGGCCTTTCTGGCTGACCCTCCACTCCACAGATGAAGCAGACAGAGAATGACCTTTGGGGTCAGGATGTGGCCACTCCCTGGCTCTGTTACCTCCCATGCGACCTTGAGCAAGTGATCTAACCCCCTGAGCCTCTCGTTCCTCAGCTGGACAATCTGGCTCCCAGGCTTGTTGGGGGCACCTGGATGGTGACAAAACACAGCTTCTGGCACCAGGTGGACACTCACTGGCGAGCTCCTGAGATAGAGGTGGAGGAGGGAAGCCGCTCACTCACTCAGTGCTGGGGGCTGGGTTTGCCGGGCTTTTGCCTGGGGCTGCAGGCTTGCTGTAGACAGAGGCTGCAAGAAGAGAGTTGGGGAAGGGGGGCAGCAGGGTCCTAGAGGAGAGGGAGAGGCTGTTCTCAGAGAAGGGTCCAACCAACCCTTTCACCTTTCCTGGGAGCATCGGGCAGCTTTCCCACCCCCCATCTCGGCAGGCGCAGAGCCACACCCTCTTCTCATCTCAGCCAATTGGAGCCGGGTCCTGGTGTCTTTCCCTCCTGCAGTCCCTGCTGCCCCAGTTTGGCTTAGACTTCATCTCTCTGGCCTCTCAGCTGCCCATTAGCCTGCTGCTTCTGCTCCTTTCCTTGTCACCCAAGTGAAGTTTGTAGCATGACTTTTTCTTTCTTTTCTTCTTTTTATTTCTTTTTTTTTTTTTTTTTTTTGGTACTGGGGATTGCTTAACCACTGAGCCACATCCCTGTCCCCTTGTTTTATACTTTATATAGAGACAGGGTCTCACTAAGTTGCTTAGGACCTTGCTAAGTTGCTGAGGCTGGCTTTAAACTCGAGATCCTCCTGACTCAGCTTCCTGAGTCACTGAGATTACAGGTGTGTACCCCTGTGCCCAGCATTGTAGCATGTCTTTTTAAGGCCTTTTAAACTCAAGTCTTCAAATCACCAGTGCCCCAGCCACACAGAGCTGCCCTCTATTCCTGATTGCATAAGCTTCCTGCTTGCTGCTGTGCCTTCCACACGCCATTCCTCTGCGTGTGTGATGCCTTTCCTTTCCATCCCTGCCTAACACACTTCTTTATGTCCTCCAGCACCAGCTCAAAGGTCAGCTCCTGCTCATTATGGAGGGGCAAATCCCCTTTTCCTTTGGGTACTGGCAGTACCCTCCAGGGGAGGCATCTTCAGGGAAGCTAATAATCACCCTGCAATTATTCTAAATGGGCCTCCCTACTAGGCTGGGATCCATGAGGGCAAAATCCTATCCTCAGTTCCCAGCACCCCAGGAGCTGCTAAGCTCCCCTATGTCCATCAGTGGCCTCACCGGTCTTTTCTGACTATGACCAGCTGGGAATCTCCCTCTTTCTCTGCCTGTCTTTATTCTAATACTAGGTTACTTTATTCTCAGATTTTTCTAAGTAGATAACAAAATCTTCTGTAAATAAAGAATATTTATCTTTTGCTTTTCATATTTAAAATTCTCTCTCTTGTCATATTCCATTGCCTAGAGCCTCCAGGCAATGATGAATGAAAGAAATGACAGTGAGTGCACTTGTCTTATTTGGATCTTTCTAGAAATTCTGCTAAATATTCCATCATATTCAATAAGAAGATGTCTCTTATTGGCTTTGGAAACTGATTGTTAACTTTTGGGGAATTTTCTAAGCTGGCTGCTAAACATGGTGGACAGAAACTGGCCAGAGCAGGACCATTTATACCACAGAAATTGGCAAACACTATAAGTCAGAGTGTCCCCAGCTTGCTGTTAAACATCTACCAGCACACACTGTTATAGGCCTTCTTCGTTTTCAGTATCCCAACTGTCACCAGAGGGAGGCCAACAAGGTCTGACACAGGAAGGTAATACAATAATGCATACATTATACACAGAGAAGTAACTATGAGTGAGGAAAAGTAGCAAACACACAAGAGCCTCAAAAATAGGTGAACTTAATCACAACTAGGTAAAAATGAGGTCTGAGGGGGTTGTGGCTCAGTGGTAGAGTGCCTG